ACCATAAATCTGTTGCTTGCACCAGAAGAGTGGACAATAACAGTCGGCACAGGACAGACAGTGGACGTAGTCAACCTGAACTTCTTCAGAGCTTTTAACAGAGTCAACCATCATACACTGCTGCGAAAGTTCCATAACTACGGAGTTCGAGGATTTCTCCTTGAATGGATTGAAGAATTTTTTCGACAACGTACCGTATCAATTCAACTTAATTTTTGGCTATCGGGACCAATCGAAGCTGTCCGTTAAGTTCCACAAAGAACCGTACTTGGATCCCCAATTTTTCCTAGCATTCGCAAACCGTCTGCCAGATAGTCTTGGGGCACAAGTACTATTATTCACTGACGACGCTAAAACACGGAGGACATCCTGAAGATTATAAAACCCTATAGGCAACATTCGACGCAGCTTACTAATGGTCTTATGTATGCCTGTTGACACTACGTATGAGATTCGTCCGCAAGAACAAACGCAGCCGCCTAAGAAGAAAAAGGCATTTGTGCTCCCGCCCTCTCTTGCTCAAGGTAATATTAAGTGCTGTAACCCAATCACCTTGAAGATGAAAAGCGCATAACAAAGATGGTTACACCAACACTTAAACTATACCGGAAAGAAACTTGCAGCATACCTGGAAATTTACTCCGTAGTGCACTGAGCACTCCGGATCAAACCTGGGATCATCACCTGGGAGCGAATCAATGTTACAATCCTCGAAAGAGGTCATAGGGAAGAAAATTGGGAAAAGCGGTAGCTTTGGTAACAAACAACTTTCGTAGTGTATAAACTGAAACTTGGATGGCAAGTCTGATCAATAAGCGCTGTAATCATCAGCTGCTTGTACACAATAAACGTGGCAAAATAAACTTCGGTACATCCACCCAAAATGTAGTCAACGCCAAAGTACGATGCAACTGAGGAAACGATCATCTTCCAACCGACGAAAATAGAAAAAGAATGGGTTCGGGGAACCGGGTAAAGAATGGAAATATGGCCAATGAAACTTCACTGNCTGTTTGCGTGCCACAGACATCCGGCGGAGTGTGATTCAAGTAACAAGTGTCCTGTTGATCTCAATTAGATTTGTTTTAATAGCCTCTAGGATATTCACAAGAACACGATCGCAAATAAAGGACTAATTAATTTATGTTACTGATCCTGTAACAGACAGTTGGGACTGTAGTAATCCAAGCAAGCCTTATGTCGTCCGCTAATCCAAGCTCGGAAGTTTGGATTGTCGGCTTCCATGAGGGAATAGCAAGTCCACTCTGACTATATGGTTTACCTCGTCGGCTGTTCAGCACAGAAGAGTAAGTGAAAACAACCACACGAACTTCTCAAATTGTGCTATTCATTCAATCTCGCATATCGTGCACGATGATTTTAGACTTTATACTCTCATTTGATAGGTAGCTCGATGGTATAACGCCATTTGGAACTCCACTCTTCTCAGAAAACGAAACAATGGGATGTCAATCAGTAACATAACCAAACACTGGCACAAAGCGGAAGGTCAAAACTTGAAACAGTGAAAACCAATGTTGGTAAGAAAGCCGTCTCGAATAAACCTTTCTCGGTTTATCGAAAATAAGCGCAGAATGATGACCAGACACCAGTTTTGACCCTACTGAAATTTGGCACCTGCTCTCATGTTCATTGAGCTAACTTAACACATCCTTTTTGAAAATACAGGTCATGATGTTGTTTCACTACTATTCAGCGTACTAGATTGCCCAATTTCAAATGATAAATCCGAGTTGACCGAAATGATTATCATGCAGAAAGCATTCCACATGCATTAGATTAGGGATCAGGCCGAACACATACCTTGTTTCTATTCCATAAATCCGTATATGCGTCACAATAGAGCCGCAGTAACCGGTCAGGAAGACGTGTCAGACACCAGTGATGAAATGCGAAGCAACGCTCAATTTGCTGAGGGAGATAGGCAGAGAAAGTGTGAAACAGTTGTACGCTTGGTTAACCTATTATTTACAACAAAACGACGGGGAAATGAAAAATGCCTGTAATTGTTTATCGCGAAAACGAATCCCCAAAAGACTCCGTCCACCCGAGTGTGTGTGGGGAATTCTTCATATGCAGTGCGCTGAAAATGTCTTATACATTTCCTTCTCGAGATGAAGGTTTTTTCAATGAAGTGAACGAGCGAAAAGTCAACATCAGAGCCTCGGGAAGGTCACAAAGTTTGTCGTGGTTATTTGACCTTCGCCTATTGCCCTCACACATGTTTGACATCCCTCGCGCGTGGTACCGGGATAAACTTTTCACTGATTGGAACAAGGACAGACCTCAAAAACTACTTGCTTTTATACCTTTGAGTGACCAACTGCTGTGTGGGAATAAGTTGGCTTATTGGACGTATCTAATAATGGAAAACCACGTGTAGCAATCGGCGGTAAGGTTGAAGAAATGTGAGATTCCGTTCTAGTTCCAGTTACGAATTCTATATACGGATTGGAGGCCCGGTTTTTCCACAACCGTCTTGATCTCATTGCTACAGGTCTTTAGTAGGCCACTGAGATAGCAACGCCACTTACCGAAGGGTGGAGGAGTTACCGCAATCCACGAATCTGGGTTAAACTGTACTCTTGGTTAATAAGTAAGTGCTTGTTGCCCGGTGGCCCGGTGGTAACGTCACCAATTATCACCCCGGAGGACGAGTGTTCGAATCCCACCACTACCGCCTGACTTTCCCCATTTGTGTTGTATGGCAGCCCTCTGATTGGCCGCTTCCCCCTTCCTGAAAATTGTATCTTTGTATATTCAATAAAAGGAAGTAAAATGAAAAAGAAAAGATAGTTCAATCCAAGATGTAATTGAGTAACTTCGTTGGCAGACGACAGTGCTGCCTGACTTCAGAACTGTTAACTCAGTTGATTCATCTTCCGTAGGTACAGATGCGTGCCCGGGTCCCTAAGTGGTATGGCTTTAAAAGCCTGGCGGACTTCTCGGGCATCAAGTGGGACCGCAGTATGCAGCACATGGATTCTCTATCGACAGTCTAAGGCAGCGTTAAAGACAATGAAGCACGCTGTGGTAGACTGTTGAAATTTGTAGGAGTGTTTCACGATATTACGGAGAGCTAAAAGTTGTTCCTATTCCACGGCGAAACTCCCCTTGGTTCCAACTTCTCTGGTCTAACGTCTCTCCAGTCTATGTTTTCTTCTTTCAGCGAAAAAAAAACATTCTACGCACGCTCATGTTTCCCCAGACTTCCTCACTTCACCCTCATCCATCTCTATAGGGCTTTTCAGACGATCAGACTAACAGTTGTGCCTCGGATGGCAAATCTACCGCTGTTCCCTAAGCTCTTATCTCGACTGCCGTCCAAGTCCCTCCAAATCCCCCGCCAGCCCAAGCCCTTCTTGGTCTTTGATGCCCCGTCAAAATGACTACGTTGAGTGTGCGTATTCTGATGCGTAGGCTAGAAACCATAGACACCGATATACGGTATATAAAGTACTCGCATTCAAGACTCCAATTCTACGATCTGATTGATGTCCCCGTTAAACCAACCTGCGAAGTTTCACGTACGCCTTTCTAGGGACCCTGAGGCTGCGGCTTCTAGTCTTATGAAACAGGGAGTTGAAGCCGCACGCCTGGATTGGATCTCAATGGACTACAGGCTGCGCAGTGAGACTTGGAGGCTAGGCCAAAATAAGCAGCCTTTGATTAGTTTTGTGTCAACGGACTGCGGCCCAGGTACATTCAAAGGTGNCCAGGTACATTCAAAGGTGAATTTTACCAAAAACTACACAACCGGGTTGATATCATGATTCTAGCAGATGTGAATGCTAGAATAGGTCGGTTGTTCTCGAGTGAGGCGCATCTGGGAAGTTCTTTCAGACTAGATGTCTGTGGCTCGGGAAAAGGCCGTTGGCTCTATGTTCCCACGACCATCTACTCCTCGCCAGTACGAACTTCAGACGATTCAGTTGCTGCCTTAAGGGTCAGGCTCTGGCTAATCAGAGGCTTCGGTTCTAAACTCTCCAAGAATTTTCATTTGCTTTGGCCTGTAATTCACCCAGAAGCAAATCATTAAACTTTTCCTTTCATAAAGACTGTTGCACTACGATCTGCCTAGCACGTGTCTGGTGGAAACATCCAATGAGAGAAGATGAAATTCGTTGTCGCTTGTTGGATGTGCATAGTCCTTTTCTAAAGGAAGTAATCATTTTACACCGCTTTCAATGATTTGATCATAATTTGTGTATGCCTACCCATCGTCTACCTTTCAGTGCTCTCTTTGAACATGCTGGGCAAGACTGGAAAAACCGTTTCGGCGGTCAGACCATGATACGGCGTAGAGGTACGAAGAGGTTAGCTTCAACTTTGGCTTCGGTTGGTGCAGCTCACCTTTTAGGTTCTGGTCCAAGGGATGAGGATTATCGTTGGTGACAAAGAATGCATGGTTTCTTCTATCACTCATGGCTTCGTAAGGGTTGGGCACTTTGGAAAGCAAGATAAGTCCATATCAGAGTTTGATTGGGGTTGATAACAAAGCTGAACCAAGAACAAATGCTAGAAGAGTCATGAACGAATACTATAAATTGCATCTGAGGGCTAAAAATTCACTTAAAAAGGCTAATAAACCATGGAACGCATTGTGGCTCATCTAGGGGAGCTGGAAAATCCTGATTCTTGAGCTTTCAAAGAAGAAGCCTACGACCTAATTCCAGAACTACTTGGTTACATTAAATTCATTCATTTGGGCCAGGGAAGTTTGAGTGCCTGAACAAGTGTTTTTTGAGCACACAATTTTGGCTTCAACAAGCGGATGATGATCGCCTCGGCTGTTGCTAGCGTTTTAATTCGAACAGCCTTCGAGTTGTGTTGTGGGACGCGATAGATGATGGTGAAAGCAGAATTAGTATCCCCCTTATGTCCAGTTTGGACCAAGTGCAGACAACATCACGCATGGGTGTTGCGATGACCCAAATCGATTATCAACGATTACGTAACCCGTTCTTATCTGAACATGAGAACGAGTGACAAATGTGTCCCTACCCCACCCTTTTGCTATTATTATCTGACCTCGACTGTTTGACCCCAACACAACACTCCCGTTATTTTCTCACATAAATGTGATTGTACTGGCTTGATAAGGAACTCACCGAAAACATATGTTCACCTACAACATTTATGATTGTGAACTGAATGAAAGACGCCAACCAGTAGTCACTTACCCAAGATTGGGCAGCAAATATACTTCGTAGGTACTGACTAATTCGACGAGTTCGTAAAACTTGATTAGTCTGACGTCGGTGGAGACAAGCGAATTCCGAAAGATCCACAAACTGATGGGGACAATATGCAAAATTACACCAAAGCACTTACTCGACTGTTATCCAATGTCTGTTGTAAATGACACTTTTCCAACAGATTAAGCATTTTCTTACGAAAAACAACAGAAGGTTGTACCCAGTAGTGACGTGGATCGCTCCTGGCCTGTTCTAGATACGACTAAATAAATCACAAAAGCACATTACCCAATTCCGCATGCACCGCTTGAGCGAAAAATTCATCTGATTCACCGTGGTCATTATTATTTTGAGTGTCTCGTACTGAATCTTTTTCTACATCTACTGAGACCCATCCACATGAAGGCAAATCATCCCTGAAATCCACAGGGATTATAAGAAACGGCTCTTACGTTGGAATCGATAAATCCTGGATGGCATCTGTTAGAATACTTTCACCCTTGTAGGATGACGTCCCTGTATTGTCGAGAAGCGCGTAGGGGTGGTCCTCGAGCAGGTCTCTTCGACGCTTCTCGAAGTAGAACAATTCCATCTCTGGGAAAATCAAAAAACAATCGCCAATCATAGATACAGTTAAGGTGAAAATTTTCAAACAGACGAACAAGTGAATGAATGACTCCGGATAGTCACTTTCCCATAATACGGTATACATATTCTCCAGTTCGTTTGGTATTGTCCTCTGCAGATATTTTTCTCGAACTATGGAACAACGTTTGAACCAGGGCTCTCTTGTGTTTCATCGGTGAGACACTGTTGAAGTAAAGATACTGTCCGGACGAAGTATTCCTGCGGAAGATAGATCGTTGAACAGAACTGTCACTTTTATGGGTTATAAGGAAAGCAAGAGAAATTAGCGAATGCTTCTTCTTTACTTAACAGGTGGATTTCAAGTTGCGGCGTGCTGTGTTGAATTCATTTAGCAGTACAACCATTTCGTCAGGCTGGTTGAAGATGATGAGCGCCTCATCAAGGTATCGTTTACAATAACCGTGCTTCAATCATATCCATGAAAATGCCGGCCAGATGGGCTACCCATTGCAACACCGACTACCTGTTGAAATGTTGGTCCTCAAAACGATCTATTTGCCGCAAGAAAACTTGATCCGGATTCCATTGGTTTCTCACTAATGGAATATACAAGAGAGCTCTGGTTCTAACGTTGTTCCACAGGGCGAGAAAAATATGTACAGAGAACACTGTCATAAACTGATTTGTTACCGCATTTCACAATGAACTATGTAAAATCATACATTTCTTACATTAATTATTGTGTGATTCAACTGATCAATTAAAAATCCTTTTGAAGTAGATTGCACGAGACAAATAGTGATGATTTCATTAGTGGATCACATTCATCGGGCTTTTGTGGCACCTGTGATGCAAAACCCACCGTGTCCTGGAACACAGTTGGTGTGATGAATAGTAGACAATGTGAACTCTATACTGGCGAAGACTTGCTTATCATCAATACAAGAAGACATATGTTGGCAGAATTGATATTTGCCCATCAATTTCGCGTGCTCTAATTCAGCCGTAGACGCACATTTGTATGATCATGCCAAACGAAGAAACGTAAGTTTTAGTTTTTGATTGTAAAACCTGTCTTGAGAAAGGTCATCCACTGTAACCGAAACGTCGGCAAATACAATTCTCTACCGAAATCGCTCTGTTATTAATATTCTAATATTCACGAAGAAACATGAGAGTTTAAATGGGTCATTTGAACGAGGTGGCGGACAAGTTGCTTGTTTACGGGTTGAGGTCGAATTAGATGACAATTTGATATGGAGATGAACGGGTCCAAACAATGTGGAGAATGTGGTGGAGGATGGGGGAGCGAAGGCCATGTCTTACACTATGGTGATGTATATCAAGTAGGACACCATTACTACCACGGCAACAACAGTTGCGTTATAAGTGTTTTTTAGCACAACTGCGGATTCAAGCGATGAATAGTTATCGCTTCCGAACTTCGAGGCCTCGTATTGACTCCAGATGCTTCAGGTGCGTCCACATGGGAACCAGAGTCTAACAAATGCCGGTCAGGACAGAACAGGACAGGACACAGAACTTGCGGCAAAGCCAGATGGAGTGCTTTTTTTAGCACAACTGCGGATTCAAGCGATGAACAATTATCGCTTCCAAAAATCGCGAAGTCCGTGAACTTCGACGACTCGAAATGCTTCGGGTGCGTCTACATAAGGACCGGAATCTAACAAATGACGGGCAACCGCACTAAATATTAGTTTCCCTCCGCGAAGACCAAGGTGTTTCGGAATATGTTCACACATTCACCACGCATTCGGAAGCACG